ATCAAAGCAAAGGCAAGAGGGGCTGCTGGCTGGCAAGGTCACCAAGTCTGCTAGAAAGCTCAGAAGCTAAGTGCATATTATCCTTGATACCTGCCACCCCAGTCTTAGAGGTGGAAGAACAGCCTTAGAACTGTTTCAATTGGCCACTACTCTCATCTGTTAGCAGCAATGAAAACTAATACACATTCCAATTAAAAGGCAGAGATTGACAGAATGTATACAAACCAAAGACCCAACTTAAATACAGTCTGCAAAAGAAACACTTTAAATATAAAAACCAGATAGACTGAAAGTAAATGAAAATAAAAAGAGTCACCATGCAAACAAACTGGTATAAGAAGGCTGAAATGGCTATTTTAAACTCAGATAAAACAGATTTCAAGACATAGACCACTACCAAGGATAAAGAGTGACATTTAATAACAATAAAAGAAACAATGTATCAGGAAGGCAAAACAGTTATAAGTGTGCATGTACCTAATAATAGATTTTAAATACACAAAGCAACAATAAACAGATAAAGGGGAGAAACAATGCTACAGCTGCAGTACAATATTTTGAAAGCACTCCTGCAAAACGACATAAGGCTGTTTTATTCCATTTATATGACATTTTGGGAAAAGTAAATGACAGGGATGGAGACAGAGGGTTTGACCACAAAAGGATAGAGAGAAATTGGAGGAGCGGGAATGAACCTATAATACACCTTGATTGTGTTAATGATTAAAGACTCTATGCATTTATCAAAACTGATACCAAAAAGAGTGACTTTCACTGTATGTAAATGCAAAAATAAATGCTTGTAACTTATTATAAGCCACTGAACAAAATAAAAATTGATGAGTCCACAGTGACATAAATAATTAGTAAACTGTAAGTCTGATGGACAAACGGCATATTTACTTAACTTCAAAATATTCTCCCATGGATTCTTATCAATCACAAAAGGAAAAGACATTCACAATGAGAAATGCACTGGATGCCAAATTAAGTGGCCAAAATGAACATCATCAATATTGAGACAAAATAAAATCCTGTGCTACCTGAAAGAATGCAATTCCAGGCTCTATTCAAAACAGCAAAAACATGGAATCAACCATGCTGCCCTTCGAAGTTGGAGTGAATTAAAAAAATGTGGTATATATACGTAATAGAATATTATGCAACTATAAAGAAGGACAAACATATGAACTTAGCAGCAACTTGGATGGATTCAGAGTTGATCAGACTCAGTGATCTATCAAAGAACAGAGTACCTTATGTTTTCACTCATAAGTGGACCCTGAACAATTCTCATAGTACTATAAGAAAAGAATTGGCAGTAGTGGGAAACTGCCGGGGGCGGGGGGGGAGTGGCAGTTGAGGGAAACTACTAGGGGAGGGAACGGCACACCTCATCAACAAGGGTACCTGCATAATCAATGTCTGTATACCTAACCCTGTATTGTACCCCACATCTTTAAAATAAAATAAAATTAATTAATTAATCTAAGTTGATAAATTCAATTATGTCAATTGTAAAGTAGAAAGAACAATAACGAAATAAAATTTGGTTTAAATAGGATTGTCCAACTAAGAAAAAGAAAACGTGCTGAATAAAATTTAACTTTAAAAACGCTTTATGTTTACTTTTAAGGTAATGATTTAAATTCATTCAACTCATATGCACAAACACACATACAATTCTTTGTTATGATTTTCATCTTTATAATTATAAAAGAAAATATGTTTAATAAAAGTATCTTATAGACGGGCCCGGTGGCTCAGCCTATAATCCCAGCGCTTTGGGAGGCTGAGGTGAGTGGACTGCCTGAGCCTGCAGGTTTGAGACCCACCTGGACAACTTGGCGAGACCTCATCTCTACAATAAATCAAAAATTAGCCGGGCGTGGTAGCGTGCGCCTGTTGTTCCAGCGACTTGGAAGGCTGAGGCGGAAGGATCGCTGGAGCCCAGCAGGTCGAGGCTGCGGTGGCCGGGAGCGGCCACTGCACTCCAGTCTGGGTGACAGAGTGAGACTCCAACTCAAAAAAAAAGTATCTTATAATGTGATAAAGTAAAAATGTTTCATAGAAGTAATTTCTATAGACTGAAAATCTGAACAAAAGTTATTGTCTCCAGAATATTCTATTTTTAGATAAAAGCATTCCTTTGTTTCTTTTTTTCAGCTTTATTGTGGTATATTGATATACAAAAAAACTGTACATACTTAATGTGTACAATTTGATGTATTTGGACATATGCATATACCCTTGATATCATTACCACAATCAGGGTAATAAACATTTCTATTACCTCCAAAAAAAAAAATGCTATGCCATGAATACGGCATCACTTCTGTGCTTTTCCTTGTAAAGTTGTGTGATCTGGGTGATGAGATAACATCACCCAAACCCAAACTGAGGAACATTCTATAAAATATTTGGCCTGTAATCATCATGAAAGGCAAGGAAAGACTGAGGAAGTATTCCAGACCAAAGGAGACTAAAAAGACATGACAGCTAAATGTAACATACGATTCTGAACTCAGTTCTTTCAATATAAAAGACAATATTGGGATGATTGGCAAAAGTGAGTGGGGTCTGAGGATTAAATGGTAAGATTTTATCAGTGTTAATTTCTGGTTTTGATGATTCTGTTGTGTTGTGTAGGAGGCTGCCCTTTTGTAGGAAATATACACTAAAGTATTTGGGGAATGATGGGGCATCAGGTTGGCAACTTACTCTCAAATGGCTTAGTGAAAATTAAGTTATTTGCGCTACTCTTGCAATGTTTTTTGGAAGCTTCAGTTTGCTTCAAAATTTAATAATGCATTCCAAAAGAAAACGATCTGAGTCATAATCTCAGGAGGGGAGCCCCAAACATCAATATTTTAAAAATCTCCCAGGTAATTCCACTCTGCTACCAAGATTAAGAAGCACTGCTCTAACTAATCGCCAAGCTGATTCTTCCCTCCACCCACTCCCTACCATTTTAGTTTTGTGGTGGATCCAGTGATCACAATGTTTCTAACCAAATACTGCTTTTGTTGTTTCAGTTGTTGTAACCCTGAAAAAAACTGTTTCCAAATGCTTACAGGAAACACCTCTAATGGGGAGATGAACTTTAGGAATGGCTTCTTAAACATGTAGTGATGAACACATATAAACACATAGCATGTGTAAGCATGAGAGGATGAGGGACTGAAGACGGATTCCATGGCCTACGCAATTCTCAACTTACCCAGATTTACCTTACAGATTACTCCCGAAGGTAAAGAGTGGACTTTTTAAAATGTGAAAATGTGCATGTTATGTACGGAAGCAAAATTCAGTTGAATGCAATGATGACTACCACACAGGAAAGACACGAGACAGGGCTGGCTTCTGCCCGGGCCTTTGCCTTTTGTCTCCTGCTGTTCTCCTTCTACTCAGGTTGTCTGCCCATAGCTATCTTAGTATTCATTTGTGTAATTTGCTACATCGGCCTTCTCCTTGATTGCATTTTAAGTGTAACTGGAAACTGTACAAATACAATGAGAGAAACAATGCAGACCAGTCCACAAGTCTAAAAAAGCTAGAATAGCAAATAAAAATACTGAAGTATGAAGGCAGCCAAAGCCTTTCTTCCACTGCATGGCACTGGATTTGGTTACGACAACCTTGAAAAGTGTTGTTTTTTTCCCCCCATAATAGTGCACTCACAATGAGTCAGTGAAAATGTCTGCACCTTTGAAATCCACATGAAATTTAATTTTAGAAGTTTATAATACATTTATTCAGACTCTATAGTTCCTAAATAGGAAATCGGTGACCAGTGATTTGTCTTCACACCACAGGAATTTATTCAGTTTTGATTAAATGTTGCCACAGAAATTGTTGGCAAGAGATAAGGCAAAGCAGGAGCAACAAGTCCCTTCCTCAGCGTCGCTGGATAGCTGCCTCTGGAATCTGTTATCCTCAACAATACTATTTCTGTTTGCCGAGCTCTATAGAACTACTAAGGAGTAACAGTAAAAAGAGCATCAGCATGGATAAGGAAGTAACATACAGGAGCTCACTCACTATACATAGAAATGCTTTGATAATGAGGATGGAAAATGAAATTCCACAACAAAGTTGCCTGAGTTCAAGCAGAAGTGAGAAATCTGTCTGAAGAAGTAAAAGGAAAGGATAGTCATCCATACCCAAACTCTGTAGCTAGGTATGGTTGGCTCAGAAGATTTGAAAGTTTATATCAAATAGACAATTAATTATTTGTTGTTTGTTTGTTGGCTTGCCTGTTAAGACAGGGTCTAACAGGGTCTCACCCAGGCTGGAGTACAGTGGTACAATCACAGCTCACCACAGTCTCGAACTCCTGGGCTCAAGTGATCTTCCTGCCTTAATCTCCCCAGTAGCTTGGCAATTCCAGAGTTTTGCTCTTTGAAATTAGGCAATAACTTTGGTGTTAATGAAATACTAAAACTACCAAAAACCCTGTAGTTATTCAAAGATTGTACCTAGGCTGCACACAGGTACACACATTTTTAACCAATTAAAAACTGGATTACTGAAAGTTGGGAAATGTTTATATATGTATACATGCAATAAAGGTACTAAGTGCAATGAATCTGGAAACAAAATTTAGCAAAAAATATTTTATAGATTTCCACCAATAAACCTGCACAATTCTGTTTGTTTGCTTGTATTGGGGTCTCACTCTGGTGCTCATCCCACCCTCCACCTCCTGGGCTCATCTCTCAAATCAGCCTCCTGAGTAGCTGTGACTACAGGTGTACATCACCAAGCTCAGCTAACTTTTTTATTTTTTGTAGAGACGAGGCCTACTATGTGGCCCAGGCTTGTCTTCAACTTCTGGGCTCAAGTAATCCTCCTGCCTTGTCCTCCCAAGGTGCTGACTACAGGTGTAAGCCACCATGTCCGGCCAAACCTACATAAACCTACCTGAAGAGCAAATTCTCTCTGAAATACTATAATAGTAAATATAAGAAAGACCCAAACCACAAAGCATATTTCTGTACCTGATGTAATGCAATACTGGGGGTATGCAGGTCAATAGCAGCCAGAGAAGGAATTCGAGATTCTGAAAGAATTTTGCTCTCTTTCCTTATTAGCCTGGAATTTCGAGCTAGATAAAATAACCATAAACACAGTGAAAATATTAGACATTTTGCTAGTTTTTGACATTCTATATCTAACCCTCAGTATTAATTTTAAATTATGTAATCAAAAGGACTATACAAAGTAAAAGCATCATAGACATACCTATACCTTCCAAGGTTCGTAGTTCAGGGAGATGGTTGTGGTTTAGCTCAGGCAAATGGACACCTGTCTTGGAGAATTCCCTTCTTTTCTTATCTGCCTGAAGGAGGTTCTTTTCACTAGAGACCTAATATCATCAAAATGATTAATATAAGTGGGTTAACTCAAGATGAACAAGGCTTTCCCTCTTTTGTAACTCCTATGTTCAAATCCTGCAATTTGTGAAACTGAAAGTCTAGAATCATTTTTTGTATTGAAGGACATTGATAACACGGTAAGCAATTTCATTCAATCATTTCAAACCTCTTCTTCATTAAAGGTATTACAATTGTGCACAAGTGGACAACTTGATGTCTATGGTTTCTTCTTCTCCCTTGCCGCTCTCCAGTGTAAGTCCTGGGCATCAGAGCCTGGTCCCTCAGACCAGCAAGGTCAGGCCTTACAACGCTTCCCAGGCTTTTCTGCAGATAGTTGCTGCTGTTTGTTTTAATTCTAAACAGTTAACCTCCACATGCATGTCACAGCTCCTTCTATCTTGGTTTTTTAGTTTCAGTATAATCTTGCTATTGTTTTTCTCTATCTGTCCCTGCTGTGCCCCTCAAGTCAGCACATGATGCTATCTTCCTAGGAATACAGTTTACTAAGTTAAAAGGGATAACTCCAATTATTTTCCTAATCTCTCTTAGTGCTATTACTTCACAGTTGATAAAGCCAGGAAAAATAATAAAGCAAGGAATAGCAATAACACTTCAACTCTGCATCTTTATGAATCTGGCACTTTCCCGATCTTTTTCATTTGAGAATCACAAAAACCCAACATTCTTTTCCACATTTTCGAAACAAGGCACACAAAGAGAGATTATGTGATCTACTAAAAATATATATATACATATGTATGTATGTGATTTGCTAAAAACACACACACACGTGATAAAATGCATATGCACAAACTCACGTAAAATGGCAACATTAAGCCACTGAGGTTCCTTGATGCCTCAAGTTTAATATTATGTAAATGATGCCACTCCGACTGCCAGAACATCTTAAAAAGTCCTGCAGTGAGCTTTTGAGTTTCCTTCTTTTGGATGTTTCTTCAAATTCTTTTAATAGAACAAGTGCTAAGATGCTTGGTTCAAATCAGTGATAAAGCAAACAAATTAGTTTAAAAAAACTATCTACGAGTACAAAAAATAAAATTTAAAAATGAGTTCAAACTATCAGATATTAAATTCAAAGAGTGATTAAATAAACATGGTGGCTGGGTACAGTGGCTTACACCTGTAATTCCAGCACTTAGAGAGGCCAAGGCAAGAGGATTGCTTGAGCCCAGGAGTTCAAGACCAGCCTAGGCAACATAGCAAGACCTTGTCTCTACAAAAAAAAATGTTTAAATTAACAGGGTAGAGTCATGCATGCCTTCAGTCTTGGCTACTCAGGAGGCTGAGGTGGGAGGACCCCCTGAGCTCAGGAGGTTGAGACTGCCATGAGCTGTGATCATGCCACTGCACTCCTGCCTAGGCAGCAGAGTGTGACTCCAGCTCAAAATAATAATAATAATAACTGTTTGTAATAACATATCTATTTGCATCTCAGAATTGGGCATAAAGCATAGGATAGAGGTATTGATTTTCAACCTACAAGTTGAAGAAAGTCTAGGCTTAGCTCTGCCTGCACTCATTGTCATTAAGGAAGACTCAGTGAGTCTTCTCTCCACTTACCTTTACCTCCTCTCTTGATTACCTCTTCCAAAGAAGAATAAATAGTAAAAGGATCTAAAATTAACAACCAGAATGGATTATGCAATGCCTGTTAACAGGCTGACAGCAATTCCAGCAAAATGGCATTGAATCAGCAATTTTGAAAAGCTTTGCTGATTAAAACAATCTCCCAATGCAGACCAGGATTTTAAAACACAAATATTCACACAAAAATAAAAAAGGAGCCAGGCATGGTGGACCATGCCTATAATCTCAGCATTTGGGGAGGTTGAGGTTTAAGGATTGCCTAAACCCAGGAGTTCAAAACTAGTCTGGGCAACATAGCAGACCTTATCTAAATAATAATAATAATAATAATAACAACAATATAATAAATAAACCAGGCATGGTGGCACATGCCTATAGTCCCAGCTACTTGGGAGGCTGAGGTGGGAGGATCGTTTGAGCTCAGGAGTTGGAGGCTGCAGTGAACTGTGATCATGCCACTGCACTCCAGCCTGAGCAACAGAGTAAAACCCCAACTCAAAGAAAAGAAAGAAAGTACTATAGGCACAGAAATTGTTAACTAAAAATAATTAGAAGAAAAACAAATGCAATGTCCAAATATTGAGAGAGATGAAAAAGCTATATTTTCACCTCTGAGGATAATGAGAGAGGCAGAGAAGGGAAATTTGTCAAAAAAAAAAAATTCCTCTGGGACTATACCACACCTCCCTTTCTGGTGAAAAGCATACATTGATTCACATGTTTTTTTAAGCAGCTTCAGTGTGCTGACATTGCTGTAAGTACTGAAGTGGGACAGTGAGGAGCACAGGTACAACTCACACCTTGGAAGCCGACACATGAGCAGGAGGAGACAGACAACCTATAAGTAAGAACATACCGAGGATGCCAGGTGTACACAATGGAAAAAATAAGCAGGGAGAGGGCACAGAGAGTAAAGCTGACAGAATGAGTTACAATATCAGGAGAGACCACATAAGAAGGGTTCCTGGAGCCAAGGAAGAAAAAAGACAAACCCATTGGGTTATCTGGAGGAAGAACATTCCAAAGCTGAAGAAACAGGAAGCGCAAAAGCCCAGGGGTATGAGCCGGTCTGAACCATGTTTCAGGAATAACAAGAAAGCCAGTGTGCTTGGATCCGACTGGTCAAGGGAGAGCTCTGGTGATGGGTCGGGAGAGCTGAGGAGTGAACCAATGCAGGGACCCTTAGGCCCTATGAAGACTTTGGCCTTGGCTCACCATGAGAAGCCAGTGGGAATTCTGAGTAGAAGAATAATGATGGCTCAACTTAACTTTAAAAGAGAAACTTGGAGTTGAAGATAATGGCACTCTTTCCTGGGCTATCTCTAGCCCTTGTGCATGCTTCTACTACTACAATGAAACACCGTGTCTTAATTTGTGGATCCTCTACTACAGGGGTCACAACCCCTGGGCCACAGATGGGTTTGATGGCCTGTTTGAAACCAGGCCGCACAGCAGGGGTGGGGGGGCAGGTGGAGCTCATCTCCTGACAGATGAAAAAGGCATTAGATTCTCGTAGGAGCATTAACCCTATTGTGAGCTGCGCACACTAGGGATCTAGGTTGACCGCTCCTTGTAAGAATCTAATGCCTGATGGTCCCCCGCCCCACCCCCATCCATGGGAAACTTGTCTTCCATGAAAACTGTCCCTGATGCCAAAAAGCCACTACATCATGATGTCCTTGGAGAAAAAGACTGACTTATTCATCTCCAGTGTCTCAGACATAGTAGATGATCAGTAAATATTTGCTACATGAATAAACAGAATACTGTTTCACACCAAAAATCTGGTGTGAAAAAGCTAATAAAACAATGTATCTTCTCATCTACTCCAAATAAGAGCTGACCAACAAGCATCGGGTTAAGAAAATGGACCATTACTGAAAAAAAACAAAACATATGTCATTGTAATAACATATTTAAGTTTTCAGATATGAAACATGTAAACTTCCAACGTTTCACATTTATTTGTCATTCTGATAGGCTGGGGTGAATACAAAAAATTAAGGCTTCACTTTACATATCTCCAAATAAAATTATCAAAAGTCTAGAGCTGATTGGCGCTTGTTCCTCCACCACTGAGAATGGTTTACTTACTGATGTGGCCACATTCATATTATAAACGCCTGGTGGGGAAAGTTTGTTCGATTTAACAAATGGAATAGAATACTTCTTAGTTTTCTCATCCACTCTGCAACAACAAAAAAAAGTTTTTAAGTTAGAATCGGCAAAAATTTTTTCACGCACAAAACCAAATGACAGCACAAAGTAACTTGCAGTTTAATCAGAATGTGATGTGTATTCTCAAACACACAATGCACGTGAATCAGGTGAAACATTCTATCCTTTATCACCACCCTCATGCCTCCCACCAGCCCCTGGTTCCTACCAAATAAATGACCTTCCTCTCAGCAAAATTCCCAAAAGGAACTTCTTTGTAGCACCAAAAACTCACAGCCACTCCTTGCAGCAATTCAAAACCCATTATTTCTTTTATTATGAAAACCTGTTTTACATTACGAGCCCAAATAGCTGTAGCTTCTCTTCACCTTAAGCAATACAACCCTACTCAGGTGAATTTTTTGGATCAAATTTTCATCACACAGCCAAAAAGTCATTTGAAACAGCTACCTGACAAATGAATAGCAGCCAGAATTCTAGGAATAAAACAATGTGGAAGAATTGACAAGCACTTGAAATTTGCAAATATATCCTTGAAAACATTTTTGGTCTTATTTTCCTAATTCATACCTGTAATTCTGAACTGGTATAGTCCCCATTCCAGAATTAACACCAGGAGCAGCTGCAGAAAGATTGTGCGTGAGTGGGGGAATCACCATGCCAGGATACCTTGCGTGAGCCACACTGACACTGCTGCAGTCTCGGAGGCTTGTGGAGGGAACTGTCTTGACGTGGCCTGTCCCATTGTCATGTAGACGACTGGCATTTGAAATTCTGTTGACTTTTGCAACTTTTTCTTCATCAATTCTTGACCCTTTGATTTTAAATAGTTTACAATCCTTAATTTTGGAATCTGCATTGGTATCCTGAGCATTAATAAAAATATTAACAAGGTTAATGATCTGAAGAGAATGAAAAGTCACACTAGAGAAGGATTTCATTGGATTACCTTTGCATCCCACTTTATTCTACCTATGGAATTAAATTTAAACCCAGATTCCTTTCCAGACAGTCACTGGGAAAACACAAAAAGAACAAAAATGCAATTCACACTAACACGCGCGCGTGCACGTGCGCGCGCGCACACACACACACACACACACACACACACACACACTAGTGGGAAACTCATGATGAGGAATCATGAATGCCACTTTGTTCTTATATATTCAAAGTCAGGGAACACAAAATTGAGAACTCATTCTTCTGGTTGACTTGATGGGAATGGGAGAGTGGTACATCTGAATTACCTTATCAAGAACACATCCTGGGTAACTTACTAGGAAAAGCAAACCTACATTTTAAAAAGCTCTCCTTTATATAAAATTCTAAAAACAATATTTTCATTCATATCATTTAAGAAAGAAAAGGGGGAAGGATCTTTGTTTTGGGTGTATATATGCACACACATATGAACACACATGTCCAGGTGTTCTTGGACACAGTTGCACAGACTAGTGCACAATAGGTACTCAAGACACAACACGCTGAGTTCTTAAACAGGTAATTTCTTTTTTTTTTTCTGTTTTGAGTCGGAGTCTCACTCTGTCACCCAGGCTGGAGTACAATGGCACACTCATGGCCACTGCAGTGTCAACGTGCTGGGCTCAGTCGATCCTTCCACCTCCGCCTTCCAAGTAGCTGCAACTACAGGCATGTGCCACCATGTCCAGCTGATTTTTTGATTTATTGTAGAGATGAGGTCTCTCCATGTTGCTCAAAACCCCAAGTGTAAGCAATCCTTTTGCCTCCACCTCCCAAATTGCTGGGACTACAGGTGTGAGCCACTGCACCCAGCTTAAATAGGTAATTTCTATAAAGAAGATTGGGTTTTAAAACTAGGCTAGGCCAGGCTCTGTGGCTCAGCCTGTAATCCCGTGCTTTGGGAGGCTAAGGTGAGTGGATTGCCTGAGCCCGCGGGTTCGAAACCCACCTGGGCAACTTGGCAAGACCTCATCTTCACAATAAATCAAAAAATTAGCCGGGCATGGTAGCACGCACCTGTAGTTCCAGCTACTTGGAAGGCTGAGGCAGAAGGATCACTGGAGCCCAGCAGGTCGAGGCGACAGAGTGAGACTCCAACTCAAAAAAAAAACAACTAGGTTAAAAGTTAACTTGTTCACCACTCAGAGTACTTTTTAAAAAAATCCTCATTTTTTTCCTCAAAAAACTGAACAATAAGTATATTAAGTTTAAAACATGACCATTTACCTGAACCACAAATGTTTTTCTTTCTTCACCTAAGGAATCATCTTTTTCCTTCTCTTTCTTTCTGTTTTGGGATTTTTTAGATAAAGAAATATTTCTGGCATCTTTCTGTACTTTTAACTGTAGTTCCTGAGAAAACCTACGTGAAAATACGTATGTCAATAAAATAAATCTGTATGACACAGATAACCCAAGAAAAAAATCTTATAGGATTTTATTAATTGAGTGATAAAATAGACTATTATTGGAAATGAGAAACATCATGGCCTGGGGTGAGCAGTTCTGAAAGGATAGTCTGTAGGTAGACCTTCAGGAAGCCCTAGGAACCTTCAGGAGGTTCACAAGGTCACAGCTATTCTTATTTTAATATTAAGGTGTTATCTTTCTCATTACGTTAATATTTGCACTGACATTATAAAAGCAATTGTGGAACTAACTACTAGCATCTTACTAGGAATTAAAGCAGCGGCACCAACATGTACTAGCAGTCATTGTTTTCTTTATAGCCACACATTCTCAGTTTTTAAAAAAAGCAGTTTTGCTTAAGAATGTCCCCAATAAAGCAGTAAGAAGGTATGAATTTTATTAAAGCAGCTAAACCCTTAAACATATGTCTTTTTTTATATTCTGTGTAACAAATTGGGAATATGCACAGAGTAGCTCTGCTACAAACCAAAATGTAATGTTTGCCTCAAGAAAATCACTTGTGTTCTCACTCATAAGCGGACCCTGAACATTTACCATAATCCTATAAGAAAGGGATGGGCAGTAGTGGGATACTGCTGGGGTGCGGGGGGGAGACACAACATCAGTAAGGATATCTGATCTCAAACCAGGCCAAGTGGGGACCAAAAGGAGGTCCAAACTTTACCCGTACAATGACCACTTGTATACCTAATTCTGAATTGTACCCCACATCTTTAAAATTAAAAAAAGTAAAATCACTAGTGTGATTTATTGAAATAAAAACTAAACTAGACACTTCTTTCATGAAACAACATTATTACATGAAAGAAAGACTGACATAAAACTATGGTTATTCAGACGTAAGGTATTTGGCACACATTTTCTTTCAACAAATAAAGTGAGTTTATCACTTCAAGGAAAACAACTAATAATATCTGTGTCAATGATAAAATGTACACTTTTATGCAAAAATTAGAATTCTACTTAAACTTGTATCCACCACTGAGAGCTTCACAGTTTTCCAATATATGGAATTTTCTGATGAGATAGAATGTAACTTTTTGATACTTTTTATGATGAAATGTGTCAACATTTTAAAGATCCACATAATTCAGCAAATTGATATTTTCTGAATGACTAATGCAAGTTACAAAAGTATGAATGGATAAGAGATCCTACCTAAGAGGTAAGACAGACAAACGGTTTTTAATGTAACAAAGAAAGAAAAGTTCCTTGATGTAGTTTCAGATTCCACAGAGTACCAACTTTTAAGAAACCACCACTGTCAAGTTTTTGTATGGTATCAGAGTTTCAGTATTGAATCAAAAAAGAATACCCATAATGACCTAAAAGGCTATTAAAACATTGTTTCATTTTCCAACTACATATTTGTGTAAGGACAGAGATTCTTCTTCAAATTCAACCAAAACAACATATAACAACTAAATGAATGCAGAAGCAAACATGAAGTCTAGCTTTAAGCTCTGTGCCACTGACACTTGTCTCGCTATCTTTTGCTTTGTCAGCTGCACTGATGCCAGCAGCTGGAACAGTACAGAAGTCCAGGCCAGCAGTTCTGGCACCCACAGGTGTGGCACATGAAGGTCTCCAGCACATTACAGCATACAGCAGTATCACATGACTTGGTGTGGTGTGAATTTGACATCACCTTTGTAATTGCAAAGACAATTACATCTCACAGTTGGTAGCAACACAGAAATCAGTGCCCTTACGGGTAGACGTTAGGGACAGAGAGATAGAAAGAAAAGCATGAGAGGCTGCTTCATGAAAACCAAAAACACCAATTTAGTAACTGTAGGAGATCACCTCTAGGAATCGCATTATCGCTAAGAGTGAATGGGGTAGGATGGTAGATATTTAAGATTCTTTAAAGTAGGGGAAACAGAAATAAGAGACATGCTGTTTGTGACTGTTGTGGAAGTCTTACTTTAACCCTAGGCAGGTATGGCCTGAAGAACATGGGTCAGTACTGTACCTCTCAGCAAATCCATCCATTTGAAAGAAATCATGGTGTAGGAGCTCAGCACAGAAGGGCCTTTTATCCGGGTCAGTATGTAAGCATTTCTGGAAAATCAAGAAAACATACAGTTCATATCAAAGAAAAACTACCTACATTTAAATATATAATTAAGCCAGACTCGGTGGCTCAGCCTGTAATCCCGTACTTTGGGAGGCTGAGGTGAGTGGATTGCCTGAGCCCGCGGGTTCGAGATCTGCCTGGGCAACTTGGTGAGACCTCATCTCTTCTATAAAAATCAAAAAATTAGCCAGGCATGGTAGCGCGTGCCTGTAGTTCCAGCTACTTGGAAGGCTGAGGAGGAAGGATTGCCAGAGCCCAGCAGGTCGAGGCTGTGGTGACCAGGAGCGTGCCACTGCACTCCAGTCTGGGTGACAGAGTGAGACTCCAACTCAAAAAAAAAAAAAAAAAATATATATATATATATATATATATATTTATGTCTCTTATTTCTGTTTCCCCTATTTTAAAAGATCTTAAATATCTACCATCCTACCCCATTCACTCTTAGCGATAATGCGATTCCTAGAGGTGATCTCCTACAGTTACTAATTATATATATATTATATATTATATATTATATATACATAATATATATATATATATAAAATTAAGCCGGGCTCGGTGGCTCAGCCTGTAATCCCACACTTTTGGGAGGCTGAGGTGAGTGGACTGCCTGAGCCCGCGGGTTCGAGACCCGCCTGGGCAACTTGACAAGACCTCATCTCTACAATAAATCAAAATCAGCCGGGCATGGTAGCACACGCCTGTAGTTCCAGCTACTCGGAAGGCTGAGGCAGAAGGATTGCCAGAGCCCAGCAGGTCGAGGCTGCAGTGACCAGGAGCGTGCCACTGCACTCCAGTCTGGGTGACAGAGTGAGACTCCAACTCAAAAAAAATAAATAAATAAAAATAAATAAATATATATTTATATACACACACACACACACACACACACACACACACACACACACATATATATAAAATTAAGCCTGGCTCGGTGGCTCAGCCTGTAATCCCGTGCCTTTGGGAGGCTGAGCTGAGTGGATTGCCTGAGCCCGCGGATTAGAGACCCACCTGGGCAACTTGGCGAGACCTCATCTCTACAATAAATCAAAATCAGCCGGGCGCGGTAGCGCGCACCTGTAGTTCCAGCTACTCGGAAGGCTGAGGCGGAAGGATCGCCGGAGCCCAGCAGGGCGAGGCCACTGCACTCCAGTCTGGGCGACAGAGTGAGACTCTGACTCAAAAAATAATATATAATTATATATATATAATTATAGGCTGGATGCACTGTCTCAAGCAATAATCCTAGCACTTTGGGAAGCCAAGGGAGAGAACTGCCTGAGTCTAGGAGTTCGAGACCAGCCTGTGCAACATGGCGAGACCTCTTCTCTACAATCAAAATGAAAAAATTAGCTGGGCATGGTGGCACGTGTCTGTGGTCCCAGCTACTTGAGAGGTTGAGGCAGAGGGATCACCTGAGCCAGGGAGGTCAGGCTACGGTGAGCCATGATCATGCCACTGCACTCCAGCCTAGGCAACAGAGTGAGACCCTGACTCGATAGATAGATAGATAGATTTTTGTCCTATTTATAGACAACTGTAAACATCTATAATCAAAGATTAGGAATAAAGTTCAAATCTAGACAATGACCATCAATAGTTGGTAATATCACAAAAAAAGACCATTAGACATTGAGTGTCTCTAGATGTAAATATACAACCTACAAAGTAGTGTTGCCAAAAAACCAACCTGATCTGATCAAGCTCCAGCTCTACTAGGAGTTTATAAGAAATATAGGACACAGAAGAACACGTACTGCATTACGTGGAAAATTCTAAGGGACAAAAACCTAGTTCCTCAAAAAATGAATTGTAAAGTTTAAACAACAATAGACAAAAGAGATGGAGAGCAGCTTAAATTAAGTCTTAGAAGACAAATCAACCAACTGCAGTCTACATGCTTCATTTGGACCCTAATTCAAACAATAAAAAGAAATTATGTGAAAATCAATGAAATTTTGAACATCAGTTAGGTATTTTATGATATTAAGGAATTATTGTGAATTTTGAAAACATAAAGCTATTGAAGAATGGAAGAGAAAGAACTGACTCTGTGCTTAGTACTGTGCTAGGTACTGTACATACATGATATTATTCTATGGCAATAAAAATAGAAGGGACTCAACAGGTAGCTTTAAATGAATGAGGAAAGTTCTATGAATGATTATTTACCAGGGAAACGATGTCATGTCTGGGACTTGCTTCAGAATACTCCAAAAAAAAAAAAGTTGAAGGGAGTGTGGGAGTGTAGATAAACAAGATTATGAAAGGCTGACACCTGTGGAAGCTAGATGACAGGTATGTGATGGTTCATTATACTATCCTTTCTCTTCAATGCTTGAATTTTTCTACGATAAAATGTTTTAAAAGTGATATGATTCTATTTAAGGTATACAAGTTGGACAAAACTGTTTTGTCTTTATTCCTTTTAAATCTCTTTACAGACAGATAATAAAGCTGGTCCCAATGAAAAATATTTGCACCTATTAGAAGATGATGTATAAAACTGGAACTGTATTATATTAAAAACTTATAATTTGCTTAGTTTTACTAAACTTTTAAAAGATGAGTTAAAGATTAAAAAGCAAAAAAAAATTCTTGAGTAAATGTTATATGATACCAGTGTTTTAGAGATACTTATTTTATCAATACTCTGAACAATCTTAACTAATAAGAATTTTTGAGCTCATAATTCCAAAAGGGTAACTTTTAGAGACAACTTGGTCCAGTGAGAATCTCCCTAATATATTCCTCAACCAAATACAAAAAAAAAAAAAAGTCTTGGTGATTGTAAATTAGTTTATTAAGAAGTATAAGAACTCAGTGACTCCAGGGGCTAAGCAAAGCCCTTGTGAGTACCCTATGCAGGTCCTGATCCTGTGTCCCACAGTTTCATGTTTCTTACTTCTCTATCCTTCTTTTTATTCTCTTGTCTATTTTTCTTCCCTTTTCTGTGCATACAAGGCTTGCATTTAAATGCTGAACATTAAAAACATAAAGTGTTTGTATGTGTTTTTAGGTCAGAAAGTTTTCACACTTAAAAAATGCTAGATAGCACTAAATAGTTTCTTTTTTCTTTTTCTTTTTGGGTCAAGGTCTCACTCTGTCACCCAGGCCAGAATGCAGTGGCGTAATCCACAGCTCGCCACAGCCTCGACCTCCTGGGCCCAGGTGATCTTCCCGCCTCAGCCTCCTGAGTAGTTGGGACTACAGCTGCGCACTACCAGGTCCAGCTAATTTTTAAAAAATTTTTGCAGAGATGGGGTCTCACTATGTTGCCCAGGCTGTATACAGTTTCTTAATGAGCTTTAAAACAAATAAAATTTCCAGGCCTTTTCCTTTGAAGCTACCACCACCAAATTAAATTCTTTCTTAATGTACAAAAAGTAAAATTATTATCAAAAATTGTTGAACTAAAAGATCAACTTAGATGAGGAAAAAAAAGGAAAACTAAGTCTCTATAATGTATACATTCCCTGTGAAAAAGTATAAAATAGACTATGATTACCTTTGCTAAATCTATCACCACTTCGGAGAGCTTAGGGTAGCGTCTTTCAAGAGGTTCTCTTGCCTTGATGTCAGGCAACCTCACTCCAGCAAATACAGGATTTTTATAGAACAGCTCCTGATGTCTTGGAATTAGATTACCTGGAAGTGAAAACAGCATACATCTCTGTCATCATACAATGTGATAGAAGTGGTGGAGAGACAGATGGTGCAGAATAGAAGAAACAGTGGAACATGGATGAAGGCGTTTGGGGCCCTCTCAGCATGCATGTTCAACAAAAGACTGCTGTTACTGTGCTGGTACATGGCAGTCTGTTTATTATCCATTTAATTATTTAGAGATACAATCTTGCTCTGTCTCCAGGACAAACATAGTTCATTGCAGCCACAAACATTTATGGAGACAAGGTCTCACTATGTTGACCAGGCTGGTCTCAAACTCCTAGCCTCAAGCAATCCTCCTACCTGGGCTCCCAAAGAACTAAGATTACAGGTGTGAGCCACCATGCACAGCCTCATGGAAGCCTTTATATTGGCTTTGACCCAAGTTAACTCAGGGAAACGAACACTGATATCTCAGCATAGCCATTTAGAAAAGTTCACATGCCACTATAAATAGAACTGAAGTGACAGAGCACAGGTAGAGGACCGGGAAAGAACATTTGATAACTTTCCAGATACAAGTACCAGCACTTCACTTCTAACTACAAAGCGTAAAGTGCTGACAAAACAATAAGAATAGTAATAGTCACATGGAGGATTGAATCTATATAAATTAGCTCTACCCTTTAGGAATCTAATTTTTGATCAGTTGATTTTATATTTGCATCTAAGGTCAGATTTGGCACTTTACCTTTTTTCTCTACTTTAATACCTAGTTTAGTATAAAATATTAACATATTTTAAAATTCTACCACAAGAACAGCCATAAAAAAGAATGAAATCATGTCTTTTGCGCATGGATGGAGCTGGAGATCATCATCTTAAGTAAATTGACTCAGAAACAGAAAACCAAACACCGCATGTTCTCACTCATATGTGGGAGCTAAATGGTCACACAGATGAAAATAATAGACACTGCGGGGACACCGATAAGGGGGCAGGGGAAGGAGGTTAGAGTTCAGAAACTACCTACGGGGCACAGTAGTCACTATCTGGGGAATGGGCCATCTGAAACCTAATCCCTACCACTACACAATCTGTCCACGTAGCAAACTCACATGTACACCTTCAAATCTAAAATAAAATTAAATTTAAAAATAAAAAAAATAAAAATCCTACTATAAGAAACCATTGTATTACTTATTGAATTTTTAACCTGAAAACTTCAAATCACATAGTTAAATTACTCTTAAGTGTTTTCCCATTATTTCCACCTTCCAAGCTCTATCTTTTTTTCTTCTTCTTCTTCTTTTTTTAGACAGGGCCTTTCTCTGTTGCCCAGGCTAGAGTGCAGTGACATGATCATAACTTTCTGCACCCTGTAATCTCAAATTCCAGTGTTCAAGCGATCCTCCTACCTAAGTTTCTCAAGTAGCTAGGACTACAAGTACCTGCCACTATACCCAGTTGATTTTTCTTTTTTTTTTTTTACTTTTGTAGAGACAAGGTCTCACTATCTTGCCCAGGCTGATCTCAAACTTCTGGCTTCAAGCAATCCTCCTACCTCAGGCTCCCAAAGTGCTGGGATTACAGGCGTGAACCACCATGTCTAGTCCAAGCTCTATCTTAAACATGAAGTGGATGTTTCAACAAAGTAAGACTTTGATATTCTAGATTTGAAATTCTATCCAAAGCACTAACAAAAGTCAAATCTGAGGAAAGATTAAGCTACTGGGAAGTCTGTGTGTCCCATCTTGAATGTGAAAATGAAGGTAGTAGTCACATTAAACCAAATGCTTACTAATTCCAAAATAATAAATGATCATCACATCCTCTCCACATGTAATTACGAGAATGTAAAAGTTCAGAGAAATTCTCTGTTTTCTTCTCTGCTGATGGAGCGGAGGAGGTGAGCATGATTAAGAACATGTGTCAGATAGACCAAAGCCAGACTGAAAAAAAATTAAAAACATATACACACACATATATATTCCAATGAAGTTTTCCTATTTGCTCCCTACCACCACTTAAAACACATATCACCTTTAATATACCAATAGCTTTTTAAAAATCACAAATACACAGAAAAACAGTCTGAAACTTAAAATGCAAATCTATAATCTTACCTAAACACATCATAATATGATACAGCTGGTCAATATCAGAATCTCCAGGAAATAGGGGTTCCCCCATGAGCATTTCAGTTACTAGGCAACCAATGGCCCACACATCAACAGCCCTGAAAGAAAAGCAATGCAGTAAAATCTGGTGTTCTAACATGTTTACTATGACTGCGTCTGTTATGCATATTACTATTTGGTATTCCTGGCATAGAGAACAGTAGTACGGGTTGAGCATCCCAAATCTGAAAATCCGAAATGCTCCAGAATCTAAACATCTTTGAGTGCTAACGTGATGGTCAAAGGAAATGCTCACTGGGGCATTTCAGATTTTGGGTTTTTGGATTTGGGATGCTCAATCGATATAATGCAAACATTCCAAAATCTGAAATCCACAACACTTCTGGTCCTAAGCATTTCAGATAAGAGATATTTAACCCACAGGCTTACTAGTAAGCCTTAAATTATTCATTAAACAACATTTTCCTCTATGTTTAAAGCTCCAACTCCCAATTTTACATAAGTGAGATTTCCAGAAACTTCAATCAGATGATACAAGAGGAAAAGGGCTTTTGAAAAGTCAAAACAGTTATTATGTGCACTTTATTCTGGAAATAAACCTCCCAGGCTTCATGCAGAACCTAATCGTTGTTTGTGTAGACATAATTATTCTCCCATCCTCCCTCCCTCCCTTCCTTCCTCTCCCTCTTCCTCTTCCTTCTTCTTCTTCTCCCTCCTCCTCCTCCTCCCTCTTCTTCTCTCTCTCTCTTTCTTTCTAGAAACAGAGTCTCACTCTGTCACCCAGACTGGAGTACAGTGGTGTGATAACAGCTCAGTGCAGCCTCGAACTCCTGGGCTCTAGCAATCCTCCCACCTCAGCCTCGTAAGTAACTGAGACTACAGACCTGGCCAATTTTTTTTTTCTTGTCACTGACTTGAAACTCATTACAATTTTTTGTAGAGATGGCAGTATCACTATGTTGCCCTGGCTGGTCTCAAACTTCTAGCATCAAACAATCCTGCTTCAGTCTCCCAAAGTACTGGGATTACAGGCATGGGCCACTACACCCGGCTTTACACATAATCCTTAATCAGTCTATGCTATGTCAAGGAACACTGAAACAAAGCATAACAGAAAAAAGAGCTGGCTGCTGAGGACAAATACAGTAATAGTGAGAATGAAAAACTGATAGGGAAAAAAATTTTTTAAACTATCTTAAAAATCAATAACAAGAACTCAAAGAATATGCAAGCATCATTTAGCCAGGTACAACTTTCTTGAAATTGCTTTAAGGTCATTGCCGAGTTATAAAATGGCACAAAAATTATATCATGGTAGCAAAATGAGAACTAAGAGAAATCAAGAAAATAGTAGATGATGTTTAGTATACTCTGAAAACAGAGATATTGTAGAAATATCTTAGAAAGAGTTCTATCAAGAGCAAAAGCCACAATCCTTTCTTCTTGGTAGAATTCACTTACTTATGAAGACTATTTATTTATTTGCTTGTTTGTTTATTTGTTTTTGAAAGCAGGATTTCTTGAGAGGACAGAAAAGCTCCCACAGTGGGAGGGGACCTGAGAGGGTTGCCTGACAATTTAAGTTTTTAAAACCTACTTGGCTGGGCACAGTGGCTCATGCCTGTAATCCCACCACATTGGGAGGCCTAGGCGAGAGAACTACTTGATCCCAGGAGTTAATGAACAGCCTGGGCAACACAGCGAGACCTCATCTCTGAAAAAAAACTAAAAAAATAGTTGGGCATGGTGATGCTTGCCTGTAGTTCCAGCTGCTTAGGAGGCTGAGGCAGAAGGATCGCCTGAGACCAGGAGGCAAAGGCTGCAGTGAGCTGTGATCATGCCACTGCACTCCATTCTAGGTGACAGAGTGAGACCTCAACTCAAAAAAAAAACGAAGAAAGAAGAAATGTAGCCAGGTGCAATGGCTCGCACCTGTAATCCCAGCACTTTGAGAGGCAGAGGCAAGAGGATTGCTGGAGCCCATGGGTTCGAGACCAGCCTGGGCAACATGGCAAGATCTTATCTCTACAATAAATCAAAAAATTAGCAGGGCGTGGTGGTACAAACTTATAGTTCCAGTTACTTGGAAGGCTGAGGTGGAAGGATAGCCTGAGCCCAGTAGGTTGAGACTGCGGTGACTGTGAGCATGCCATTGTACTCCAGCCTGGGCGACAGAGTGAGACTCCCACTGAAATAAAATAAAGAAGAAACGTTTTACTTAATTATATGTTTGCCCCGCCCTCACTTATTCCACCTTGCCACACTGCATCAACATCAGACTTACCCAATCAGTGTCAGCCCCTTTACAAGTGGTAAAGATTTGTATTTCCAGCTGCTACTTACTCAACTAATTTTCCCACCTTTAAAATAAGTATACCCACTCCAAATTGTTTCACAAGGATGTTGAAAGGGGAAGCCCCAAATGTGATCACAAATCACTTTGTAAAGTTCCCTAAACTCAGGCTGTCCTTTCAGTGTTAGAGGGATCATTTATTACATGACAAACATATTCCATTTTCTCAACAAAAGAGAGTTAAGATCTACTCCTCCCATTACTTCTTACTTGCCATACTTGACATCACCAACCAGTAGTTCTGGAGCTCTGTACCATCGGGTCGCCACATAATCGGTATAAGCCTCCCCAGGAGCTGCCAAAGTTCGTGCAAATCCAAAATCACATAACTTGACAACACCAGACTGGGAGACTAATATATTCTCGGGCTTTATATCTCTGTGTATAATCTTAAGACAAAAAGCAGATATGACAGATGTTAAAATTAATTATTTTTTTGGCATAGGACACTTTTTTTCCCTATAGAGAATACAAATAGAAGCATATAAAAGTTGTTCTAGGCTTTAAAGAACCTAGGACCTAGCTGGGCAAGAAAAAACATTTACACTTGGAATTTTATTTGAACAAAGATACTGTATTTTATATATATATATACACACATATATTTATATATATATTTATATATGCATATATTTATATATATACATATATTTATATATAATATATTATATATATAAATATATACATATATTTATATATAATATATTATAT